CTGTCTGAAGCAATTGATTTAAATAAATCCAATAAGAGGAAGTCCACTAGTTCATCCGAATTTGGGAGAAGAACCTCTCCTGTTTGGGACCACTACACATTCATCAAATCTGATGATGCTTCTATTTACGCCGAGTGTAAGTATTGCAAAGTTAAAAGGTATAAAACTGATTCTTATATTGGTACTTCTAACCCTAAAAGGCATACTGAGAAATGCAAAGCATATAAAAAATTTCTTGCTGAAAATCCTGTTAGTGTAGATTCTTTTGATCAAAACAAATACTGTGAATTGTTTGCTGAGGCTATTCTGTGTCATGGTTATGCATATAGTATTGTTGAGCATGAAAAACTTAGGGATTTACATCATTACCTTAATTATTCTGTTAAGGATATATCTAGGTATACTGTTACTAAGTATTGCATGTTGGAGCATGAAAAACATAAGAAATTGCTACTTGATTCATTGCATACTGTTTCAAGTCGTGTTTGTTTTACATGTGATGGTTGGTCTGCCTGCACTTCACGTTCTTATTTTGCTCTTACTGCTCATTATGTTGATAATAACTGGAAACTTCAGTCTAAAATTCTTAATTTTCGTCGTTTTCCTCCTCCTCATGATCGGGAGTCAATATTTAAGTTTGTTAAAAAGATGATATGTGAGTGGGGTCTTGAAAAAAAAGCATTTACTATTACACTTGATAATGCTTCTACAAATGATAAAATGGTCAGGAGACTGAAAGATGATTTGAATGTCATTTCTCCTCTTCCATGCAATGGTAAGTACTTTCATATAAGATGTGCTGCCCACATTTTGAACTTGATAGTTCAAAAAGGTTTGAAGGTAATTGATTCTTCTGTTAATAAATTGTGTGAGATTGTTAAGTTTATTGATTCTTCTGATTCTCGACTTTGTGCATTTGAATTAGCTGTTAAAGACTGTGATACTTCTTTCTCTGGTAAGTTAGTATTAGATGTTCCTACTCGATGGAATTCTACTTACTTGATGGTTCATAGGGCACTTGAGGCTAGATTAGCAATTAATTTGTTTGTTAATAGGGAAAATGAGTTGGATTTCATTACTGATCAAGAGTGGGAAATTGTTCAAACAATCTGTGATTTTCTTGAGTCTTTTTATGAAATTACAACTCTGTTCTCTGGTTCTAAGTATCCCACTTCTAACTTGTATTTGGCTAATATTGTTTCAATTGAAAAACTATTATGTGATGCTCATAATGATCTATGTGAAGGTATTTCTGCAATGGCTAGACCCATGCTTGAACTATTTGAGAAATATTGGTCTGATCACTCAATGATTCTATCTTTTGCTGTTTTACTTGATCCTCGATATAAATTACAACTTCTGAAAGAGTTGTACAATGTTCTTTATGTTGAGGATGAGGTTCAAAGGAGGGTAAGTCTCATTTATAATGAGTTTCTGGACTTATATGTATTTTATTAAAAAAATGCATCTTGTGGTTCTTCCTCTTATTCTTCTGTCCAAAGTAACAAATCCTTGGGCATAAGCGAGTCAAGTTCCAATCGGCCTCGATCTTTTAGAAAAGCAGATTTATTTCAGGTTAGTAATTACAATTTTAAGTTGAATTTATTTTTATTTATTTCTTGTTTTTATTTACTAATCTTTGTCTTTTATTTTTTAGACTTTCGAGCTGCTTCAAGGAGTGGACGATCTGATGTTGATTCTTACATCAGTTTGCCTCTTGTCCCTCATACTGGAGAAATTGAATTTGATATTTTGGATTATTGGAAAAATCAAAGTATTTCATATCCGGTACTTTCTCGCATGGCGAGAGATATATTGGCTATTCCAATTACTTCGGTTGCATCCGAATCCTCCTTTAGTATGGGAGGTCGAATTTTGAACAAATTAAGAACTAAACTCTTACCTAAAAATGTTGAGATTTTTATAACAACCCGTAATTGGTTGTATGGTTTTGAGTCGGAGGATAAGGACGAAGAATACCTTTCTGTGGTTAACGAGTCTTCGTTGTAAAGGTAATCCAAATTGTTATTTAATAAAATTTTCAAATTGTTTATTAATAAGTCTTTTCCTTTAGCTTTATCACTGATTGTATGTTTTCTTAATGTAGGATGCTTGCTGAATTGATGCAACGATACTTGCTAAATTGGTACATTGATGCTTATCGGTTGCTGCTGTCTATTACTCACTGATGCCTTGTAGACTTAAATCAATTTTAGAACCTTATAAATTCTTATCTAAAATAGTTACTCATGTTTAATTATGTTGGTGACATTTTGGCTTTTAAAGTTAAAAAGTTGCCCATAATTAAACATAGTGGTAGCATTTAGGTATATGCTCGATGATGATATTTCTGGTAGTATAGTTAGGCTTTTTAGCCTTGTAAACATTAGCTATAAGATCTGAGAGCATTTATTTCAACATACATTTATTTTGTTTAGTTGATTTTATTGTAATTTTAGTGTTTTCAAGTGTAATAAAATTACCTTCATTTATAAATATTTATTTAGTATTTGAAATGTTATTCAAGTTTTTAATATTTAATAAGTCTCTTTCAATTAATATATTTTGATTTTAAAATATCAAGTTAAGTTTATTTAAATTATTATTCAATTTTCACATTAAAAGTAAATTATATTCATGAATATTTTAACTTAATTAATAAAATTTATTAAAATAAAATTTAATAAGATAATATTTAAATTTAATTTAGTGATTTTAAATAAAAATTTATAATAAGAAATATAAAGAAATTTATGAATTGAAATTAACATAAAAATCAAATTTATAATATACAAATTATAATTAATATAAAACTATTTAAAAAAAATAATCATATTAATTTGATTATCATAGTAATTTATGATAAAATTTTAAAAAGTAATCATATTAATTTAATTATCAAAATAATTTAATTATCATAAGTTTATTATAAATTTAAAATAATATAATTAAATTAATTGTAACTTTACTTATAAGTTAGGATAATATCATATCACTTTAACAACATGTCGGATCATTTACAGATTGAGTCAATTACAGGTCAGGTTCATAACAGGTCAGGTTGAAAACAGGTCGGGTAATACCAGTTATTTACCAGGTCAATCTCGGGTTCGAGTTCATATCAATCGGATGTAGTTCGGGTTCGGGTATCATATTTTCGGTTTAATTCGGGTTCAGGTCGTTCTCAGGTCGGGTGCAGGTCGGGTTCAGATCCACAATTTTCAGGTCCAACTCGGGTTCAGATCAACACCAGTTCCGACTCAAGTCGGTTTCGGATCGTTACAGCACAGGTCAAAAACAGTTTTAACTCGAGTCGATTTCAGTCAGTTTTACAGGTCGGGTTAGTTTTTTACACCCCTAGTTCACCCAAACAAGTAACTTTGCCCTATTTGTTTTGAAGTAAAAGACTAATTTTCAAGTAAAAATACATAGAAAAATTTTAGGAGAAAAATAAAGAAAAATCTCGAATCCTTCTTTTGGGCTAATCATTGTCTGAATTTTACATAAAAAAAGTTAAATTTGAGATGATCCTAATTGGGTCATATTTGATATTCTCATATTCGTCTTATATACTTTTTTTATTCCTGTAGTCTTGACTAAAACAAGGGTAAACTACACTTTTGGTAATTAAATTTTATTGTCTCTCTTATTTTACTTATTATACTTTCAATATTTTTAATTTGTTCACTAGACTTTATAGATTGATTTTTTTTGTCATTCCGCCTTTAAATAATTAACGACGTTATGACATGACCGTATTTTAATCAAAATGACATCGTTTTATTCTAAAATTTAATTTCTTCAAGTATTGAAAACAACATCATTTTGATGTAAGTTGCCATGTCATAATGCCATTTAATTATTTAATGGCAGAGTGACAAAAAAATTCAATTAATTAGAGTAAACTAAAAAAACTAAAAGTATAGTGAGTAAAATAGGAGAGGGAGTAAAGTTTAATTACCAAACGTATAGTTTACCCTTAAAATAATCATAACTCAAACTATTAATGTTGAATTGATATATTTTAAAATATGTTAAAAAAAAGGAAATTGATGGATTCGTACATGGATATATTAACCAAAAAATAATCAGATCTCATAAAAAAAATTCGTAAATGAATTTGATGTTCCAAACTTAGAAACGAGTTTCATTGAATTATCTTGAACATATTGTTCTCTCTACTATGCATGGATGCAAATCACATATAATTATTCATTGAATATATGTGTGTATATTGCATATGGCGAGGAAATGAAATCTATTTTTTAAATTGAATTGATCTTTAATTAATTTGTGAAATTAAATTAATCCAAATAGATGATGACCCGGAAGGGGTAACCTGTAAATTTTATTTTCCATTTTCCCACGCGAATTGGTTTTCAGATTTGAGGAGGAGGTTGAGAAATTGGGATTTGGTATCTCTTTTATTTCTTCACAACGAACTCCGATACCAATAGAGGGGGAGAGGATGAGAAATTTTAGAGATTCAAAATCACTCAGCTCTGTTATTCTTCTTAATAATTCCTTAATTTGTAACCAAAGCTTTGCTTAGCTTCCACGGTTTCCTCTTATTGTGCAGTAAGGCTTTCTCGAAATTCGTCTTCTCTGGGACGCGCTTCAGGGGGTTAGTTTTCTCTTTTTACTGGTGCAACGTGTGTTTTTTTACGTATAAAATGGGATTGTTCAATGTTTTTGGTATTTAATTGTTTCTATTAGTTTTAGACAAGAATTTATACGTAATTTTAAATCCAGTTGTTTGTTTTATTATTATTTTGTTTGTGTTCTATTATAGCAATTCTGCATGCAAAATTTGTCTCTACTTGGAAAAATTGACGATAAACTTGTAGGCGCCCAACATTTTTTCTTGAATTTCTGGTACTTGCATGTTTAATCTATTATACTAGCGGTTTGAGGATTTTGCATAAAAATTTCTCTTTTTTGTTATATTTGTTAAATGTTTCTAGAGTTTAAGAAGGATTTGAAGTAAATTTGAAGCAGTAATGTGGTTCAGTTCCTTGACGAAGAGGCTTCCTGGTGGGGATGCTGACATTGAGAATCATGAAACATCATCAGGTTTAAATGATTTAAATGAACCTTTATTGAAGTGTCACAATTACGATGACAAGCATTCTGAGGTGATTTCGTGGTTGTTTTCGCTAAGTGTTCCTTTTTGCAAGTTGTTTCTTTTGAGGGTTAGGGTAATCGAGATGTTAAATTTGCTATGTTTGGTGTTGTATAGGGGCATATGTCAAAGGAAATAACGGATGAAGAGCGAAGGAAGGCAGATCTTCAGTGGGAATCTTTGTTCTCCAACTTGATTATGCAGTGGACAAACTGGATGGGTGTGGGTTTCTTAGTTATAGATATGAGATTTTGTTGCCTATTATGTCTGTAATTGCAGTTTCAAAATATTTTTATTTAATCGTTTCTCTCTGTAGTTGATTGCTAACTTTGAAAGTTAAACCACTAAGCTAGCCTGTCTTGATATGTCGGTATGTAGATCGCCGATCATACAATTTGGCCATGCTAGAATCTGGACATCAATATGCTTATATTGTTCCAGTAAATTTAGCTCGGGGTTTCTACTGCTCTCACCATCTTCTGTTCATGTGACAGTTTCCCTTGATAAAAGGCGTGTTGGGCGGATCTTTCCCTATCAATGTAGATAATAGAAATGCACATACTCCATACTCCATTACTTTTTTTTTTGGTCATTGGTATTGTTTATGCAGCACATGATTTTATAACTTGACATGCATTGATATATTAATGGAGGACATTTTTTTTTCGTAGAAAAGAGAAATCTATACCCCCAAAGTGAGGATTTATAAAAATAGAGCATCACTATGTCTTAGACCTTGTTCTTCCTTAGGTTCTCTATATGGACTAGAAAGGTTCCTGATTGGTGGCATTTCTTTTACAAGATGGACTAAATGTATATTCAGAGGCATTTTAAACTTATACAACAAGGTTATAGTTTGGTATATAGACAGAAGTTTTTCTCTTCTTTTGAAATATAATAAATTTATATGCTCCGGATAAGCGACTTGATGTGCATATAATTGCCTGCATTGATGATTACTTGTCTTTCTGCTGCAAACATAATGTTTTATTGCCCGTTCGTTGTTAAATTCTTTGCTCTATTTGACTTCTTATAATTGTGGGAATTTATTAGCAGTTCAGTTACTCACAGTTTAATCTTGGTTGTTCCAGCTAACATTGTCCAAGGATCTGGAACATCTATTGTACAACTTTTTCGTGTACATTTTAACATCCAAAATGGACAAAACCAGAAAGTTGCTGCACCTGCTCTTAGTACTTTACAGGTATAATCAGCATTGCACTTTTCCAGAGTATTTTTTTTATTTGAATCCACTTTTTAATTTGCTCTAGTAATGTGAAAGAGAAGCTAGTAAACAGAATCTAGCTCCATAAGTGTGACTGTGGCAGAAAGAGAAACTAGTAAATATAATCTGGTTATCTTGAGTACTGAAAATCTAAACCAAACTTCAAGCCAGTTTGAGAGTTCACTTTTAGCTGTTACAGTTTTCCAAAGTACTATAGGATCCTGACAAATACTGTATGTAAGAAAACATCTAAAAGAAAGGAAGTTTTCATTTTTACCGGAAGTTTGAGTATTGAAGTTGGTCCTGAGAATGAGCTTGGGGAAATAAGTGAAGCTTATGAGCAAACAAAGCTTTTATTGTAAATGAGTTGACTAGGCCAATAGAACAAGTCTTATGTGCTTGGGGTTAGTTGTGTCCCTTTAAAAGGCCAAATGGTCTTGTCGCCATTGACCGTTATCTTTGGTTTTTTCATGTTTGGAATAACGTGCTGCTGTAGAAAGAGAGGCTGAAAAGGCTACAGAAACGACTAGAAGTCCCCTTTGATGGATCTCAGCTGGAGCATCAAGTAGGTTTTGTTATAACCAGTATGCTTGTCTATTTGTTAATTCATTCTTCCATTTTTTTAAAATTATTTTCCATGACCTTTAGTGTGCTTAATGCACTTGTGATAAAAATGGGCCAATTCTGCCATTTTCTTCCGGAATGGAAAATACTAGCTGTCACCTTTCCGGTATTTCCCCTGTATACAAATGTATGCCTGAGCAAATGATGCTTCTTGGTACTATGGCTGATTATGTAGTCATTTATGTTCTTTGGACCGGCAAGGATACTCTTTGGCAGTTATGGAGATTGGCTTATCCTAACAGGGAGCTTCTATATCTTAAATCGGAGCTTTGGGGGGACATGGGATGGCAAGGGACGGACCCTTCAACAGATTTTCGGTATGCCAGGTTGTTTTGGTTGGTTTCTCTATTCCTCTTTGATGCTTATTCATGTTATTTCGACACTATTTGAAGGGGTGGAGGGTTCATATCATTGGAGAATCTCATCTTTTTTGCCAAGAACTATCCGGTTCGTAACCTTTTCCTTACCCAGATTAAGTCTTTTTGGTTAAATATCCCCCATATGGAGTATTTGGGAACCGCCCGACTTTTGTAATGAAGCATATCTTGTGTATCTTATTGCATTGATATGCTTGACAATTATTTTGTTCACTAGCATGTATTTGCAGCCATGGTTGGGTCATACTCTGAATTTTGGTATTTCCTTTTAACAGGAATCTTTCCAGTGTTTGTTGCACAAAAAAGATGGAAACCGGGCTGATTGGGAATATCCGTTTGCTGTTGCAGGCATCAATATTTCCTTTATGTTGGTTCAGATGTTGAATCTGCGAACACGTAATGGACTTTCAGAACTAGAAATTGTCTGCTGTTTGACTTGTCAAAAACTAACACTAATTATGTTGTATCTGTTGGAAAGCCATCAAGCCTGGCTGGAATTCGTTTTCTGCAACTACTCGGTGAAGATGAAACAGCATTCGACAATCTTTTCTGTGTGGTCTTTCAGATGATGGATACACAATGGCTCATCAAACGAGCTTCATACTTGGATTTCAACGTAAATTAGTCCGGCGAATGATCCTATCCAGTGCTTCTTGAGCTTTATCTTCAAATCAATATTTTCCATGTTTCTTGAGCTATTATTTATATCAATGTTTTCCATCTTTTTTTCTTGTTTCCAGGATGTTCTGAAATCAACAAGAAAACAGTTAAAGCGTGAACTCGAACTAGATGGTGTCTCTAGTGTGAAAGATCTACCGGCTTTTAATATGCTGAGAAGCAGAGAAGGTAACTTTCGAAAATGTACATATAAAACTCATAAAAATTAACCTTTAATCACTATCAAGTTACCAATTTGTTTCCAAATTAATTCAACAAAACAAATTTAACATTATCAAATTACATGCCACTATCTAAATCAAAATCCATCGTATGATGTCTTACTGATATTGAAATATACCTCTCGATGCTTGATGTCACTTTGAACTCTTTATTCTTATTATTTGCTTTTTACCTACGTGTGAAAATCATCACACGCTAAGTATAAACTTAGTAAGGCAATTAAAACAATATACAATGCAATACAATTCATGCATGAATTTAGATTTCAAATCCAATGCCATAAAACCATGCTAATAGCATCTTCAATATTTTACCATGATCAAAATAATATAAAATTTCTTACCATTTATCCCTATAAGCTCATAAGCTTATTTTTACCAAAATACTTACCATTTAAATTCCATAAGATCGTAAGCTTATTTTTCCAATATACTTGCCATTATTCCATAAGCTCATAAGCTTATTTACATGGTTATCATTTATTAACCAATAAAACATAATCCATAGTCAATAGCCCAATATTAAACCTTGAGGACCCTGGGTATTCGAGTAATATTTTCACCGTAGTGCTACACATAAGGTCGTGCCCACCTGAAGTGTATTACACATAAGGTCGTGCCCACCATATACACCGAAGTATATTACACATAAGGTCGTGCTCACCATATACACCGAAGTGTATTATAAACCTGTAGCTGCTATACTCTATGGCATGCCAACTATACCTTGTCCCTCAATGACTTTTTTGGGCATATAGTTTACTTTATTCGATCCATCCATGGCAAAGTATATTATCAAATTTAACATTGGGCAGTTTATACCCGAAAACATTCATCGTAAAATATCACATTTTTCATGATCAATGCATTTTAATTTCATACTCTGACATATCAATGTCAATTTATAAAAAATGATATAAAATCATGTCGATATAAACAAGGTCGACTTATCGCAAGTCTTCCTTATGATGTATAAAACATCCATATATAATTTCATGCATGTATTGCACTCACCTTGACACTTTATAATTTTCCAAATTTGTGCCTCACTATTGTCCACAATAAACCCACTTGACTTGCTTCAAATCGCAAATAAATCATAATCTGTAATATTCACAATTTCATAACGATACATATGTTAGTATTCTACTAACATAAACATATCCCATAATAACTCCATAATATATTTGAAACTCATTATCTATCAAAATACTTATCTCGTAATAATTCCTATAACATTGGAATCAACTTTTCCAATTTAAACAAAATGGTCCTTCACCATTTTATCACTTAGAATTTCAATATAAAAATTCCAGTATTGAAATTATTATAAACCAAGTACCCATACCAAGGCATAATTAAAATAAACACTCCCAACAATTCAAAATTTGTATTACAATCACCAAACTTTCTAAAATTTCCATAATCCGACAACTTGCACCGCCTTTAAAGAATCAATATTCTGTATTGATATACACACTGGAATTTAATTCCGTTTCTTCCGTTGAAAACTAGACTCGAATAAAAATCTATCCATATAAATAACTTCGTCTAATTCATTCTGTACAATTTATGGTGAATTTTCAAAGTTGACCAACAGAATCTGTTTTGCAGAATCTGCTATCCGATTTTTCTGACATTTCCTTGGTTAAAAATTTATATCTCTTTGTATACACCTTGAAATTGATCCTCATTTGTTTTAAACGAAACTAGATCAATATATGAACATAATATATAAAAATAATCTCGAAATTATTTTTATATAATTTCTGGTGAATTTTCGAACCTATTGCCAAATTCAAAATCCAAACTGTTTTCTTTAACTTCATTCTTAGACTCTTCATCAATTCTTACAACCAATCCTTTAAAATCACTAAACTCTTCAAAACCCATAAAACACAAGAATCAAAATCCCCTTTCATCAAATCAAGATAAACTTGAACACTAACAATAGCATGCAATATTGGTATAAAAAGATAGCGTTTTTCGCATAAAACAATTTTCTATTTTTAGCATACTCAAAATCCTAAGGAAATTGCTTGAAATTGAAATCAAAGCTTGCTCTTACCTTTGAAGAAGCTCACGTATGGTTGGAGAAGAAGATGAGCAAATTTTGTTGAAATGTAGAGAACATTTCATCTTAATTTACCTTAAATTCCACTTAAATGAATAAAATATTCATTTAATTGGGATAATATCAAATCACCCTAAATGAATATTCTTAATTACCATAAAACCATGACAACTCATCCTTATCATATTTCAAAATCAAAGCTGAATTATTTTGACTTTTAATTCCGAAATTCCCCTTTAATTTTCAAAAATTGCATTTTGGTCACTAAATTTCAATGTTTCGGTTAAATTTGAAAAATTGCACAAACCAAATTTCTCTGATCCAAAATATTAAAATAATATTTCCAACCATTTTATAACATCCTTCAAATTTTTGTATAATTCCAATTCGATCGGAATTACCAATTCCTTATCGGACTTTAACCCTTTCTAATTTTTCTTTACTAAAATTCCAAATCAAATTTAACTCGGCTCATTTACACCGCTACACCGACAATGGTTTCAAATCTATTTTTGGTGTCTGCAAAATAGAAGTTAACAATTTAGTTTTTTTGAAGGAGTTAAGCGTAAATTTGAATCAACAAACAAAATATTTTTTAACTCCCTTGATTCATCATCTTCATCCTCCAATTTCTTGCACAAATCTTCAGAAAAATAGTTTCCTTAAATTTATCGATAAAAGGTTATAAATACCAATGAAGTTAATGTTTACCATATAATCTATATAATTTATTTCCTGGTAAACATCAAATTTTACTACTTCACTCAAATTTTGTAGCAAGAATTTCGCTTCTAGCGTTGATCTTAGTCGGAGCCGTGCTTAGGAATAGTTTTCCAAGTAGAATTTTGGAAGAGTTATTAGAACGATAATCTTCCATGTCAATGACGTAGAAATATGTCAGAAACATTAAATCGTTTACCTTTACTATTAGATTTTCAAAAACTCTTTTGGGATACGCCACAAATCTATCGGTGAGATAGATCGTCACATCTATTTCTTTCAAAGGCTCAACACTAAGTAAGTTATAAATCGAAAGAGGTTTAATATTTATAGGTGCTCCCAAATCATACATAGCTCATTTTTTTACCTATATTACCAATCTTACAAAGGAACACAAACATACCTTGATCCTTGTACTTAGGTGGAATTTTACGTTGAATGATAGTAGAAACATTTTCACCTAAGTTTACCTTTTCATTCCTGGTAAGCATCCTTTTATTTGTGCAAAGATCCTTCAAAAATCTGGCATACCACATAACCTTTTTGATAACATCAAAGAGGGGTATGTTTATCTCGTCCTTTTGAAAAACATTAAGTATCTATTTTTCTTCGGATTGTTTATCGCGCTTAATCAATCTTATAAGAAAAGAATTTGGAACAATATAAGGTGATGGAGTAAGAGGTTATGTTAGAGTTTCTGGTGTTTTCTTCTTCTTTTGGGACTTTGCGTATTCCTTCTCTGGATATCAGTTTTGATGATAATGCCACTTTGAAGGGTGATGACACTGATATTTTGCCTCGGATTTAGCTTAGTTTACGATGATAACTTTTCCTAGGACTCCAATCAACTCACATATTGTGCTAGTTGGCTCATTTGTTTGTCGAGCTCTTGAAAGTGAGTTTCAATCGTAATCTAAAACTTCTCTTGAGAAATTTCCAAACGTTCTACAATTGTCTCCAATGACGATTTCTACGGTTGATACTGCTAACGTGGATGTGGCCTCGGTTGATAGGCTTGATTTGGTATAAGATTCGATCCATAGTTGAAATTCAGATGATATCTCCACCCCATATTATAAGTGTTGGCGTGAGGGTTATATGGTCTCTGGGGAGGTCCTGAAAAGTTCCCTACAGTATATACGTGGGCCGTAGTATCTTCTTGAAGTATATGAAAACAATCCGTAGGATGATCCGACATCATGCATGTAATACCCAAATTATGTACTAGTAGTTTTGGCTTTATCTAAGAGGCATGCAAACCTTATGGATTTAATAATTCAAGTAGTTGGGTCGAGTTTGGGCTTTATTTGGTTTGGATCGAACCCAATTGTCAATAAAAAGGGGATATTTTCTTAGTAGAAAAATAAAGAGTTACCAAGAGTGTAATCTCACCTTTTTTAAGAGATGAGAGCTTTTATGTCACATCTCATCTTTTTCTCTTCAATTTATCCTTCTCATTTCTTTCCCTTCATATTCTCTAAGTAGCCATAGCTTAATGGTAAGTTTTGAGCATTTTTTAAACTTTAAATCCGTCCATAATCACTCTAGTAGCATTATTTTAAGGATTAAAGGCTAGGGTTTTTTATTTTTATAAGAGAAAGTGGGGGTTTTATTATCCAAGCCTAAATAAGAGTGTTTGGTGGTTAAAGGAGCTTTATTTTGGGATTCTATCAGCAAAGTAGCATATTTCTAATCCTTTGGAGTGTTAAGACTTTTATAAGCATGGTGATTTGTTATGATTTAAGTATTTAAGCATTTTAGGGTTTTATACTTGATTCATTCCATAGATGATGAACTGGATGTAAAATATGTGTTTTAATGTCACATTA